TCTCAGCGTTCTGTCTCTCTATGGAATGGTGCAGCCAACCATCATTCTGATTCTGAGTGTAACAGCTTTCCCTTGTTTCTGCGTATACCTGGGTTTTTAGCCGGAACTGCTTTTGCGGAATCCAGGCAAGAAGAAGAGTTCATAAGTCTATTAAAAAACAACCGATCTATACCACTAGAAAGATAACAAAAGACTAAGAAGTAAAACTATACGTTCTAACATTTTTTTTTAACTACCCAATTGAAGTTTCAATAATATTGCTCCATGTCAAGAACTGTATAGTTTGAAACAGTCAATATCGGCATAAAACTATTCTAAATTGCTTTCTGTCTCACTTCAAAGAACAAATAGACTTTCAGGAACATACTCATCATGGAGAAAAGCCTACATGAAGAAAAGTGAGAAAAGATCATAAACTTACAGATAATGCTTGTTTTCAGTTTCTTCCTCTTCCCATTACTTGCTTGATCTCCACTACGTATCGACTTATAATCTCGTAAAGGATGATACTTCATGGATTCTAGCTCTTTTTTAGCCATGTCAAATCGACGTTTTACCTCCCTCTACAATCACAGAGGAAGCATTTTAAGATCCAAATAAAAAGTCAACTAGTGGAACATGATTGGAAAACCCATAACGACATAATGTATACTCACAAGTGCCCGATTCACACCCATGATTTGCTGTTTGCATAACTTCATCTCCATCTCAAGCGCACGCAATCGACCTTCAACAGGAACAGCGCTTTGCTCAACCATTTGTCTTTGTCTACCACGTACAACCTCTGGCTGCCAAACGTTCAATGCTACTGATGCTTGCCTGGAGAGAGAGCCAACAACAAAATTACATCAAAAGAACGAATGATCAACAAAGAATCATCTTTTCAAACTGTCACAAAAGCACAAGTAAAGTCCTTAAGAGCATATTGTAATTCATACATCAAAACAACAATTAGGGTCTTACCTGATTTTCTGCAAATTTGAAAATTCCACAGAAGTAGCCTGAAATCTCTCTGCTTCCTCTGATAATCGAGTCTCCAATTCACGAATCCTCCTTCCCCATTCCGAAATCTCACTCTCTTTCCTCAATAAAGCTCTTCTATGTGCCGCTACTTTCCTCTCCTTCTCCCTCTCAAACCTATCCATAAAGCTTGAAATCTCATCAATCACTGACAATTGACAACACAAGAAAATCTCAGCAGCACAATTTCAAACAAATCGAATCGAAATCACCTTGTCCTATAGATAAACTTGGCGGGAGATTGAGAACAGGAAGAAGAAGAGTCGATGTGTTTGGGGAAATCAATGAAGAGAAGAAGAAGCCAGAGGGAATCATCGGAGGACAATCGGCAGAGTCGGCGAGAGGAGATTGAGATGCAACAGAGATCTTTGTAAGATAAAGTCGACGACTTTACACCAATCTCTAGTATCTTCCTCCATAGCTCGTCAGGTATCTCGTTCGCAGACATTCTCCTTGTAGGTTTATGCTTTTGGGTGGTAATTTTGTGTGTGTTTTTAGGTGGAGGCTCATTTTTGTAATATATTGATAGTTAGAAGGCTTTTTCGAAATTTTTGAAATTTCGAAATGGCCCCCTCTAAACTCTCAAAAATCTCAGAAGCAGCCT